AGAAAAAGGGGGCTGAGAGGAACTTGCAAGTCTGAATTAATAGGTTGAGAAGAAGAACTCAGAAGAGGGGGAAGCTGAAGATGGAAAGCCGGCACTAACAGCTGAGCGCAGGGGTCATGGGGAAGGGGGGCATTTGACAACGGGCTAGAAGCAGAATTGGCCTTCAATACAATGAAAGACGTCCAAGAGGCTTCGGGCTGGAGAAAGGAGCTGAGCATGGGTGTGACTGCAGAAAGCTTCCGGGGGGAGGTAGAGGGAGGTCACCTTGGAGGTTTCTTTTTCTGTGAAATAGGCACAGGAGCTCTGCTGAGAATGGGAGTTTCACGGCCTCCAGTGGGCCCTTAGGGAGGATCAGGACAGAGGACAGGAGGCAAAAACAAGGACAGGATGGATGGTCATGCTGGCGCCCAGGTGCATTTGGCCCCACTGCAAACTCAGGGCTCCGTCTGCACAGTTGGGTTATTTTGCTTTATCAGCGCTCAGTTGGTGCAGGAGCAGAAGAGATGGACAGGGAGACAGGAATCCAAGGTTAGGTTTTGCCTGATGGATTCAGCAGGATTGCAGAATAATCAAATTCTTAGTCCATGCTCTTGCCTAGATCAGGAAGGATGGGCAGTCAGAGGGGAGAACATGGGATAATAATGGGACTATAGGAATGTGAGGGTTAGAGAGTTGTAGCAAAGAGGGGAAAGATGCACCGGTGGACTGAGTTGTTTGTCCTAAGTAGGTACCACGAGGGAGAAAGTGACATTAAAGGCTTACCCTGTGCAGGATGCTCAAGTACATGGGAGAGACAGACAGACCTTCTCTGCCCTCCTGAAGCTTCTGGGGTTGGAGGAGATGGAAACATTTAAACTTGCAGACAGTGCGGGTTGGTCTGCTGAAAGAGAGATGAACAAGGCACTACGGAGCATAGCAGAGGCTGCCAGTGCGGCCCCAGGGGAGCGAGGTTAGGTCTAGCTCATCCTGTGGCGTGTGCCAGGCAGGCATAATGAGAGCAGGCAGTTCATGATAGTGCGGACAAAGGCAGCCCTAGTGAACGGTGAGGAGTCTGTCACAGCTGCAGTATATGGGTGGGTGTCTCTACCTGTCAGAATATATACATTTCACTTTTTCTTTTGAGAAGTACATTTTTATATTATAGTTGTATTTCATTTTGGGTTTCACTATACTTATTGTTGAACATTTATATTCCAGTTTTTTGCTTTCGTGAACAAAGTTGAGTAAAACATCTTTGAAGCCATATTTTTATGTACATCTTTAATTTTTCCTTAGCATCAGTTCCTGTAAGTGGAGTTTTGGGTCAAAGGGTATAAACATCTTAAAGATTTTTCTGATATAATTTGGCCTTCTGAGAAGCAATTCCAGTTAACACTCCACCAGCAGTATTTCTGAGTACCCAGTTTCCTGTGGCTTTATCAGAACTTAGAGTATTTTTTAAAAAAAATATTTGTATTGATTTCAGAGAGGAAGGGAGAGAGAGAGATAGGAACATCAGTGATGTGAGAGAATCATTGGTCAGCTGCCTCCTGCGCGCCCCACACTGAGGATGGAGCCTGCAACCCAGCATGTGCCCTGATCAGGAATTGAACCGGGACCTCCTGGTTCATAGGTCGATGCTCAACTGCGGAGCCACACTGGGCAGAACTTAGAGTATTTTCTTTTATCTTTTTCTTCTGACTTTGATACATTTGTTTGGTGAAATTTGTTTCAATTTACATTTAAATGAGACTTTTTCTTTCCAGGGGAAACTGGCTCTGGGAAGACCACTCAGCTCCCTCAGTACCTCTATGAAGGGGGCATTGGTCGCCAGGGCATCATTGCTGTGACCCAGCCTCGGCGAGTGGCGGCCATCTCTCTCGCTACTAGAGTCTCAGATGAGAAGAGAACTGAACTCGGGAAGCTGGTACCTAATTTGCTTCTTTACAAAAATTTCTCCCTCCCCTGCCTTTTATTTTTCTGAACAAGACTTCTTTTTTAAAAAATTTAATTATTTTTATTGATTTCAGAGAGAGAGAGAATCATTGATCGACTGCCTCCTGCATGCCCACACTGGGGATCAAGCCTGCAATTGAACCGTGACCTCATGGTTCATAGGTCGACGCTCAGCCACTGAGCCACGCCGGCTGGGCTGAATAAGACTATACAGAGTGCCCTGACTGGTTTGGTTCAGTGGATAGCGCGTCGGCCTTCGGACTGAAGGGTCCCAGGTTCGATTCCGGTCAAGGGCATGTACCTTGGTTGCGGGCACATCCTCAGTAGGAGGTGTGCAGGAGGCAGCTGATCGATGTTTCTAACTCTCTATCTCTCTCCCTTCCTCTCTGTAAAAAATCAATAAAATATATTTAAAAAAAAAAAAAAAAGACTATACAGAGCAAGCCACAATTGTCTAGGTCTTTCTCAGAGTTCTTTACCAGTTCCTAAGAGACCAGAAGGTCTGACAGGCTATCAAACCCATTTGCTTTGCTTTCAAAATTTGTTGGCAAGTTGGATAAATTAGTTGTTTTCCTTGAGCATTTTTAAGGCGTCAATAGCTTCTAATCTCTTATCTCTATGTCTCTTTAGAAAAATTTTAAGCATTTTTCTAGCATATGTGTGCATATGGAGAATGAGTCCCAGAACTGTGTATAAGTTAGATTTATTTATGTGTGTGTGTTTATGTATTTCACTTAAAAACATCTTGGATGTCTTTTCATATCAGTACATAGCTTCTCTTGAAACTATTAAGTAGCTGGGGGTAGGAGGCTAGTTTTAAATCTTGGTCATGCTAATTATAATTGCAGTTAAAGGTACATGCCCACTGTCCGTGTCAGCCACCAGCCTGCCTGCTGCCGGGGGAGCCGGGCAGGTCAGTGTGGGTCTTGTTCACTGTGATAGCACAAGTGCCTGGCCCGGTGCTGGTTACCTAGTGAGTGTTGAGGATGCATTTGGTGAAGGAATGATTTCTCTGCATAGGTTGGCTATACAGTGCGCTTCGATGATGTCACCTCAGAAGACACCAGGATCAAGTTCCTGACAGATGGCATGCTTCTGCGGGAAGCAATTTCAGACTCCCTGCTTCGGAAGTACAGCTGTGTCATTTTGGATGAAGCCCATGAACGGACTATCCACACGGACGTGCTCTTTGGCGTGGTGAAAGCTGCACAGAAGAGGCGGAAGGAGCTGGGGAAGCTGCCTCTCAAAGTAGGTGCAGCGCGCTCACGGAAGGAGGCCCGCATTTCTTCCTCCGTGTTCGCCTTTGCCCGTCTGCTTCAGAACCGTGGACCGAGTTCACCTAGTGGGTGTGACAGGTTCCATCATCTGCTTTTAGAGCTTGGGAGGGACACAGAAAGGCTGTCGCCATGTTTGTTTCCATCTTCCTCTTCCCTCTGTACCAGGTGATTGTGATGTCAGCTACGATGGATGTGGACCTGTTCTCTCAGTATTTCAATGGAGCTCCTGTCCTCTACCTGGAGGGTCGGCAGCATCCAATCCAGATTTTTTACACCAAACAGCCTCAGCAGGATTACTTGCACGCCGCCCTTGTCTCAGTCTTCCAGATTCACCAGGTATGGGAAGGGGGGCCGAGTCCTGAAAAGGTCTGTTTTACTCACAGTTGATAGAGTCCTCAGCCTTGGTTGCTGAATGAAACACTTGTCACTATTCCCTTTAGCAGGCACCCAGCCTGGAAGGCCCTCTGCCCAGTCCCGTCATGTACTCCCTTCCCCCATCTCTTCTATCTTTCAAAAATGGGTAGACACTTCTAATCTTTTCTCCCATTGTATTTGTCTTTCTGGGCTTATACCTTTACTGTCATCTTGATAGTATTTGGAGAAGGTCAGTTTGCCTTGTTTAACTTCCAAAAGCCACCCTGAGCTGAGGCTTTTTCATGAATGGCAGCTGCAGGTGCATTCAGGTACGTGGTGGCTTTGATGAGTCCTCCCAATCGAAGCCATGATGAAGTTTTGACTGTTTTAGATTTCATCCTGTCTGTCCCTCCGAACATTTGTCCTGTTAATACTGGGCTAGCCCTGCCGGTGTGACTCAGTGGTTGAGTGTAGATCTATGAACCAGGATGTTGTGGTTTGATTCCTGGTCAGGGCACATGCCCTACTCCCAGTAGGGGGCAGGCAGGAGGCAGCCAGTCAATGATTCTCTCTCATCATTGATGTTTCTCTCTCTCTCTGAAATCAATAAAAATATATTTCAAAAAACAGTGGGCAAAAAAATACATGTATACCCACATAAATATGTATTTACATACTTATACACATATACTCACATGTTATTAAACATGTTTTTAGTTATCAAGTACTTTACAAATAAACCTGAACACACTTCAAAGATCAGGTGATTAAGTGTCTGTTAACTGGCTGTTCTTCCCTTTACAGGGTGAAGTGCTTCTGTGAAAGCCTAATGGTCTCACTTTCACTTTTGTACAGGAAGCCCCTTCCTCGCAGGACATCCTGGTGTTCCTCACGGGCCAGGAGGAAATCGAAGCCATGAGCAAGACCTGCCGAGACATTGCAAAGCACCTCCCGGACGGCTGCCCCTCCATGCTGGTCCTGCCTCTCTACGCCTCCCTGCCCTATGCCCAGCAGCTCCGCGTCTTCCAGGCGGCGCCGAAGGTGAGTGCACCGCCGCCTCTGTCCAGCCCCATCCCCGGGGATGCACAGAGATCCTCTACTGGGGCCTGTAGGTATGCCTGTCACCAGACTCCAGATAAGGTATACGGGGCGGGATGCTCAGGCACCAGATACAGTAGCTGAAAAGCTGCAGGAATATAACATGTAGCTGCAGCTCTCTCAAGGTAAGAACAGGGAAACGGTTGTCAGGGGACGAGGGAGAGGGCAAAGGCAAAAGCTGAAGGGGAAATGAGTGAGGCTTCCAGGGTCCAACATAAGCCGCGTTGGTCCATAATAGCATTTATTGGGCACCCTGCTGTGCCAGGCACTGTGCTGACGTGCTACACACACTGCCTCTCATCCTCTCGGGAACTGGCAAGGTGGGTTATGATCCATTTAATGAGCACTGAGGCCCAGAGGAGGGAAGTAACTGCTCCAGGGACACAGTAGGTAACTGGCAGCTCCAGGGTTCCAACCCACATCCACCTGCTTCTGAGTCTTGTGCTTGTGCCGCTACATCTCATCGCCTCAAAGTAAGCTTTTAAGACTGGAACGTCCCCTCTCTCCCACCCAGTTTAGTGGCCCGCCATCAATATTAATAACTGTCGTTAGTAACAAAGTCATCTTTTCTTGATCGTGAGTGAATTATGGAAATTAATGGTGAGGACTGGAATCATATGTGTGTCATACAGCTTTTTGGTTTTCTTCCTCCTTTTAGGGCTATCGCAAAGTGATCATTTCAACCAACATCGCTGAAACCTCCATAACCATTAAAGGAATAAAATATGTAGTTGACACGGGCATGGTTAAAGCAAAGAAGTATAACCCTGGTGAGAACATGTAGCTGATGACTGTCTCTTCTGTGTGTAGTGAGCACCCTCTGAGTTTCCTGTAGTCCCCAGCTCCCCCCAAAGAGCATTTCATGCTTGTAACTAACTGAGATTGGGGTGGCAGGCACCTAAATGAGACAGTGTAGGGACAGGTCCAGAAAGGGGACCTGAGGCAGGTCTGTGAGACGAGAAGGCAGGGTAGAAAGAGGAGGCGAGGCTTAACAAACTTGGGAACAGAGGTGTGAGACCCTGTCAGAAGGTGGGTGAGATGATGGCACGAGGGCCAGAGATAGCCTGACACCACATCAAAGGCTCTCATCTTTGAGCTTGGCGGGGTCCAGCTCCCCAGAATCCCCTGGGCTGGGTGCAGCACTAGCTGTTCCTGAATCTGTTCCTGAATTTTCAATGGGAAGCTTCCTTCAGTCATTTTCCTTCGTGTCTGTTGTATACCTTGCTTTATTCTACAGAGGATTTGATCGATTTCAGATTTTTAATTGAAATTCACTAAGTGCTGCCTTTCACTGTGTATCCTTTAGCGATAACATGCGACAGGGCTCGGTTCTCAGTGCCTGGCACAGAGTGCACCTTTATGAAGAATCTCTCATTTACTCCTGCAGTAACATACATGGTCTCTTATTATGGAGGTGGGAGGGAGGAAACAGTATACAGGGCCTGGAGGCATTTCATTTCTGAGTCATTGATTGACAGGGTGACAACTATCCTCATTTGCCAGAGACTGTCCTGGTTTTGTCACTGAAAGTCCCAAGTCCCAGGCCAAATGGGGTGGTTGTTACCATGTGAGCCAAGCCAGACCTCTGAAATTTACTCTCCTGTCCCCCTGCTGTACGCATGAAGTTTTTCTGATGTTTTATTTTTTTAAAACATATTTGTATTGGTTTCAGAGAGGAAGGGAGAGGGAGAGAGATAGAAACATCAATGATGAGAAAGAATCATAGATCAGCTGCCTCCTCCATGCCCCACACTGGGGATCGAGCCCGCAACCCAGGCCTGTGCCCTGACTGGGAATCAAACCGTGACCTCCTGGTTCACAGGTCAACCATTGATGTTGTAATAACAGATTTCACAGTGTCCAGTACCGGGCCTCGTTTCACTGCAGAACAGTCTGGCTTTGTGCATTCTGATTTAGCCTTGAGTTTTTCTGACTCGGTAATGCAGAAAGGATCACTGGTGCTCTGAGGAATGCTCCTTTTGTCCGCACTGTGGAAGCAGTCTGTTTATGTGAAGGATGGGCAGAGCACTGATGTGGGCCACTCTCCCTCCAGACAGTGGCCTGGAGGTGTTAGCTGTGCAGCGGGTGTCCAAGACGCAGGCGTGGCAACGCACCGGACGTGCTGGCAGAGAGGACAGTGGCGTCTGTTACCGGCTCTACACAGAGGATGAGTTTGAAAAGTTTGAGAAGATGACCGTGCCAGAGATCCAAAGGTGGGCCCGAGGTGCCCCACACCCCTGCCACTGCCCCACACCTCCCTCCCTGCTGGCTCGGGTCTCCCCAGGGCTGCAGTCCTCACTGACACGCCTCGGTGGTGGTTCTGACTCGCCGGCTGGAGGATCAGGGGATGAACAGCGCACGTCTCTCACTCTGCACAGGTGTAACCTGGCGAGCGTGATGCTGCAGCTCCTAGCCATGAAAGTCCCCAACGTGCTCACCTTCGACTTCATGTCCAAACCGTCTCCAGGTGAGTGGGATCTCCAGTGGAGTGGAAGGTTACAAGTAGACAAACGACAGCAAATGGACTCTTTAGAGGTCTCCTTTGGTTTAGTCTGGTGGAGAACATGAACTGTCTGAGAACCATGAAGGATAGATGCGGTGCCGTCAGCACCATCCCAGCACAGAGAGTGGCCTCGAATTGTACTTCTGGCAGCGGAAGGACTGAAAATACCACGTTTCTGTGCCTTTGACTGGCATTTGGTCAGTTCTGGTCCTTCATTGACCTCTCTGTGGAGGAAGAAGTAATCGGGGTTTTCCTAACGATGGCAGCTTTTAGCACTTGACATCTCTTCAAGACATGGTTTTCCTTTCCTTTTTCCCTCTTTTTATTAAATATAATTTTTAAAAAAAAATTTTTTTATTGATTTCAAAGAGGAAGGGGGAGAGAGATAGAAACATCAGTGATGAGAGAGAAGCATCGATCAGCTGCCTCCTGCACACCTCTCCCCTCTGACTGGGGATCGAACCTGCAACCCAGGCATTTACCCTGACTGGGAATTGAACCATGACCTCCTGGTTCATAGGTCAGTGCTCAACCACTGAGCCACGCTGCCTGGGCTGTTTTGGGTTTTTTTTTTTTTAAGTTGATAGGTATACAAGGGTCCCACCCCCGATCTTCAGGTTCTTAGTTTCCTGTTCCTAGAGCAATCCCCTGACCATTTTCTAATTGTCTCCTAAAGAAATTCTGTGCATATGCAAGTGTATATGGTCTCTTTTAAAACACAAATAGCAGTGCACATTGTCATCGATGTTTCTAACTCTCTATCTCTCTCCCTTCCTCTCTGTAAAAAATCAATAAAATATATTTAAAAAAAAAAAATTGATAGGTATCAAGGGTTCCACCCCCGATCTTCAGGTTCTTAGTTTCCTGTTCCTAGAGCAATCCCCTGACCATTTTCTAATTGTCTCCTAAAGAAATTCTGTGCATATGCAAGTGTATATGGTCTCTTAAAACACAAATAGCAGTGCACATTGTGCACTTTCTACACTTATTTCTCCCCCCCTCCCATTTTATTGAGGTATAATTGACATACATCACTGTATAAGTTTAAGGTGAACAGCTAATAATTTGCCTCACATAGATTATGAAATGATTACCCCTTATAAGTTTAGTTAGCATCCATCATCTCATATAAATACAATAAAAAGAGAAAGCAAAAAAAGAAGAAAAGCATTGTATTTTTCATTGCTAAATTTCTATACACAAAGGAAGACATGTAAGGGAGGAGGAGTAAAACCAACACCCGTTCACCCCTCACCAGCGCCTTGAAGCCCCCTGCACCCCCTGGCCGCACTCGCTTCCCTCCCACTCCCTCGGGGAGCCACCTCCCACCTTTTGTTCGCAGTCCCTTGCTTTTCTGCAGTGTGTTATTCTGTGGGTGTGTGTCCCTAAGCAATGTGTTGTTTCTGTTTGCATGTGTCTGTGTCGGTTCCTCAGTAACCTTCCCTTTTCTTTTTTATTTTCTTTTTTTCTTTTTTTTATATATTTTATTGATTTTTTACAGAGAGGAAGGGAGAGGGATAGAGAGTTAGAAACATTGATGAGAGAGAAACATCGATCAGCTGCCTCCTGCACACCTCCCACTGGGGATGTGCCCGCAACCAAGGTATATGCCCTTGACCGGAATCGAACCTGGGACCCTTCAGTCCGCAGGCCGACGCTCCATCCACTGAGCCAAACCAGTTAGGGCGTAACCTTCCCCTTTTCATTCATTCTGTTTTGTAAGGTTTGTGTTAATGCATTTTCACTGCCAAATGCTATTGCATTATATGAATAAAGCAAAATGCACTTAGCCATTCTCCCGTTGACTGAGACATTTGTGCATTTCTTTGGCACTTAATGTATTTTACAGGTTGTTTCCTCTCCGTGTGTATATACTTATTACATCTTAGGAGAGCGTTTTATTCTTTAGTAGGTAATGCATTTACATGGCTCAAAATTAAAGACTATAAAAGAGTGAGTAGTGAATAGTGGCCTTCTCAGCAGAGGCCCAGGTATTGATGTTGTGGAGTGTGCGCTTCTAGAGACACTGGTCCCTGTACATTGTGTGAGCATGTCTGTGGGGGAATTCTTGTTTGTTTGTTTGTTTGTTTATTTATTTGATATTTTTTCTTTGTGGGAGAAATTCTTAAGTATATCATTGCTGGCTTTATATTGCCAAATAGCAGACCATTCTTTTTTCCTTTTTTTTGGTAAGAGAACATTTATTGGGTAAATTACAGAGGTAGAAAAAGTAATTTCTACAAGAAATGGGCTTAGGAAACAAGTTGTAGAGGTAACGGAAGGGCCCTTGGAGGTTGGGAGTGAGGGAGCTAGTGATGGCCTTCCTGGGCAGGGAGGGGAAGGGAAAGGCACGCGTGCTCCCGGGAGAGAGAGTCTGCAGACCATTCTTTAAAAAGGGAATTGAGCCCTGGCCGGTTTGGCTAAGTGGATAGAGCATCGGCCTGTGCACTGAAGGGTCCCAGGTTCGATTCCAGTCAAGGGTGCATGCCTCCATTGCAGGCTTGATCCCCGGCCGTGTGCAGGAGGCAACAATGGATGTGTCTCTCACGTTGATGTTTCTCTCCTTTGTCTAAAAAGCAATGGGAAAATATCCTTGGGTGAGGATTAACAAAAAACTAAATAAAATAAAAGGGAATTGAACTGAAGAAGTGGTGTCATTAACAGCTTTGAAAGTGAGTTCTGGGGACAGTGGTGGTTGATCAGTTGTGAAGTTATCAGAAGCACTGAACTAGTTGCGCCTTCTTTTTTGGATTTTTGGCTCCTTTTTTATGTCTCTGTTTTTCAGATCACGTTCAGGCGGCCATCGCCCAGCTGGACCTGTTGGGTGCTCTGGAGCACAAGGATGAGCAGCTCACCCTGACTCCACTCGGAAGGAAGATGGCAGCGTTTCCCTTAGAGCCCAAATTTGCCAAAGTAAATGATGCCCTCTCTTCAGTCCCCTTTCTGTACATTACAGGTTAGCCATCCCAAAGTAGACTTCTAAACCCAGTGCTTCTAGATTAACCTTCACTTTTCTCCTAAATAATTGTCCACTCCCACTTTGTGTCTGACACTGATTTACGTTCTATGTGGGCTTAGAACTCATTTTAAATCATGAGCCCTACCCACAAGGAATTTGGAATCCTTCAGGAAAGACAATCAATTGTTCTACAAACAAGACAAGTAACATTAACACACAGTCATGGTTTTAGAAACGCCTGCCCTTTAACGCCGTAGAAGGGGAACTACAAAAGCAATGTACAGGAATACTGCATTCAGAGCCAGGAAGAATTTTGATTAACGCAGTTTTCAATTTTGACTTGCAGACCATCCTCCTGTCCCCCAAATTCCACTGTACGGAGGAGATACTGACCATCGTCTCCCTGCTGTCCGTGGACAGCGTCCTCTACAACCCGCCCTCCCGGCGGGATGAAGTGCAGGGTGTCCGGAAGAAGTTCATCTCCAGCGAGGGCGATCACGTCACCCTGCTCAATATCTACCGGACCTTCAAAAACTTGGGTGGAAATAAGGTGCGCTTCGCCTCGTTCCTCTTCTCCAGTGATACCTCTTTTCGGGAATGTCGACCTTCCTTTCTTGGCTGAAGCATCGAAAGAGCCACAAAAAGAACGTCAACTATCATTTCAGCAAGATCTTCTATAGGGACAATACCAGGGAAGAAATGCGATTTCTGCCTTTTGCTCCACTTGCATTTAACTCATTTAATGTGGACAAATTAGTTCAGTAGTTAGTGACCAGTTTCTTAGCTACAAAATGGGTTTTCCCCACCTGCCCCTGACTTTCTTCATAGTAGTTTTTGCTTGTATGATATTTCAGTTCTTCGGACCAAGGGAAAACGGGTATATTTCATTTATCAGTATAATCAGTAATTATGCCATAGTGTGCGTGCTTTAACTTGCTCTGCATTTTAGTGCAGTCAGTTCTTTAAAAAAAAAAACCAGCACCCGCTTTTAGCAATTGTGAACATTTTGCTCTATTGGTCTCAGTGTGTTTTTAAGGACATAAAACGCTATAGATTTTATGCAGCAAAGGCCTGCGCTGCTCCTATCCCTGGTCCTTCCTCCCTGTGTAACCTCTGTCCTGAGGGTGGCGTGTGGCAGCATACCTTACCTCATATCTGAACATTAGATGCTACAGATGTTTGCAGCTTGTTCCCATGTGCAGCACTACTGTGCCCATCTGTGCAGGAGGAGTGTTTCTCTGGGTCCACACTCAAGCGGACCTGCTGGTCTTGGCAGCTGCATCCAGCTTTCCCGGGCGAGCACGTGGCTCCCAAAGCCGTCAGCCCCTCTGCACTCCCCCTAGTGATGTATGAGCTTCCTTTCCCACCATCCTCTCCAATGCTTAGTTGAAATGACTTTAATTTTTGCCAAGTTGATGGATTAGAAATAGTATCTCAGCTGTCTCAATTACTTTGCCTTGATTCCTCAAGAGACTGAGAATCCTTATATAAGTTTATTGGTTACAAGTCATTTCTATTAAAACTGAGTTGTCTGTTCATAGCCTTAGTCTGTTTTCTATTGGACTGTTGGTCTTTTTCTTACTGATTTATAGGAGGTTCTTTTTTAAAAAATGTTTTTATTTAGTGATTTTTAGAGAGAAACATCGGTTTGTTGTTCCACTCATTTATGCATTCATTGGTTAATTCTTATATGGTATGTGCCTTGACCAGGGATCTAACCCACAACCTTGGCATATCGGAACAATGCTCTAACCAACTGAACTACCTGGCCAGGGCCTGTATTTTTTGTTTATTTGTTTGTTTTTAAAAACATCCATGTGAGAGAGACACATCGATTGGTTGCCTCCTACATGTGCACCAACCAGGGCCAGTGATTGAACTTGCAATCAAGGTACATGCCCTTGACTGGGAATTGAACCCAAGACCTTTCCTTCCCTGGGCCAATGCTCTAACCAGTGAGCAACTGGCCAGAGCTGTTGGTTTGTTTATTTTTAATATGTTTTTGTTTATTTTAGAGAGGAAGGGAGAGGAAGAGAGAGAGAAAATGATGAAAGAGAATCATCGATTGGCTGCACACCCCCTACTGGGGATTGAGCCCACAACCCGGGCATGTGCCCTTGACGAATTGAACCTGGAACCCTTCAGTGGCAGGCTGATGCTCTATCCACTGAGCCAAACCAGCCAGGGCTGTTTTTGTTTTGTAATGTATTCTGGAGATACTTACCTTTATTGGGTGTAGTAATGCAAACATCTCAGTCTGTAGCATTTTTCATAGTGACTTGAAATAAAAAAAATTTTTTGTTTTACTTTTGTTTAAATATTTTTTTCTTATGGTTTATGCTTTTTAATATAAAGATATTTTTCTGTATTTTTGGCAACTAAAGTTTTCCCTCTAAATTCAACTATGTTCTAAAAATCATTTTATTTTCATTATAGAAATGAGAGGATTGAGATATCTCTTTTTCTCCTGTTCAGGAATGGTGCAAAGAGAATTTTGTCAACAGCAAGAATATGATGCTAGTAGCTGAAGTCAGAGCCCAGCTGAGGGATATCTGCGTAAAGGTATTCTTTCTTCCTACTTGTTCTATGGGGGACTAAGCTATTACTTTTTTCTAGATAAATAAATTTTAATTGTTTATAGCTAGTGATTACAAAAGAAACTCTTATTGTATGAAAATTTTTAAATAAGAAAGAAAGTGAAAATTATTCACAATTCCATCTCACCATTTTGGTCTGTTTCCTCATAGTCCTGTTAAATGTTTTTTGCATACTTAGTTACATTTATATTCAACTTCTGTAAAAGTATTTTCCAATGTTATTAGAATCCATCATAAGATTATTTTAGTAGGAATATATTTATTCTTTTCAGATTACATAAGTAGTGCATAATTTTTACAAGTTGATACAATGCACAAAATAGTGATATAAAATGCAGAAAGTTTCAAAGTCTCCCATAACTCTCTAAAGATAAACCTCCGTTAACAATCCTTTATCCTTCTAGAATTTTTTCCTGTGTGTGTATGTGTGTGTGTACATATACACATGGATACATATATATAACATTTTCTTCAGAACATAAATATGATACACACTTTGTTTTACAGCTTGCTTTTTTCCATTTGGTAGACGTTTGAACACTTAGTGTGTCTGGGCTGTCTTTCAGTGTCTTTATATGTCCATCTTACTCTTTTTAGTGACCTCATAGGTTTCCGTTGTGTCCACTACATTTTATTTAACCAAGCCCAAGGGTGATCGTTTAGGTTATATCAGAATGAACATCCTCCGACATATGTGTTTGTGGCCTAGTGCGCATAGAATGAATGGTGAATTCATGCATAGTGACATTAGGTCTTGATAGTTATTGCCAAATTGTCTACCAGAAAGTTTTCTGTTAGCTTATATTCCTCTTAGAGTACATAATGTTTTAAAGTCCTGTGTATATTAATGATTGTATGACACTGCATTTTACTCAGAGGTGGGGGTAGTTTTGTAAGTATCTCCTGTTGTTGAGCACAGGAAGTGCCCATGTGCTGTCGTAGACATCTCCGCTGACTGTCTTTGTGTGCCAGGCCTCTCTGGGCAGCCCCAGTGCAGACTGTCTGCACGTCCCTAGGAGACTTGTGGCCTGTGCCCAGCCTGTGTCTGCTGCCAGCGGCCTGTTGTTAACATTTAATGCTATTTCTTCTCATAGTAGCCTGTTGTGTTCTGAATTTTACACATTTTCCCAAACCCCTCTTGCACTTGAACAGTTTGCCTGCCAGACCATCTCAGCCTCGTGAGTTTTCAGTTTATTCATGACAATAGGGGTGGTGCTTCTCTGTTCTGATGGAAGAAGCTGTAGTGACTGACCACGCCCTCTTTATATGCCAGACACTGGCCAAGGTCCCGGAGGTGTACAGCTGCACTGACACTAAGTTTCTCGAGGAACAATCTGGAGGGGCAATCTGACATACATATACACATATATCTCCTGTGGGGAGCCGATGATCATTATAATTATAGAAATTGTTTATGAAGTACTTACTAAGGCACCATTCTAAGCACTTTTCATGTGATGCCTTATTTGAAATCCCCACTTCACCCGCTGTAAGGTTGATTCTGTTATTATTCCATTTCACCAATGAGGAAACTAGAGCCCAAGGAAGTTAAGTCATGTGCCCCAAGTCACAGGGCCAGTGAGTGTGGAGCTGGCAGCCGGAAGGAGAGACCAGTTAGCAGTGGGACTCTGGGCTTCCTGGAGGCGGTGATCCTGAGCTACCTCCTGACAAATGAGGAGATAGTGTCTTCCTCAGGCCAGGATCAGCTGATTGCAAAGAACAAGACATCTTGAGCCACCTTAAAGCGGAAAAGGGGGGATAAAGAGGTGCCTTTGGAATCTGGACAGGAAACAGTCCAACCCCAGTCCATACAGGGACTGGCATGAGGAACCAGAAAAGGCCACTGGGAGCAAGGGCAGCTTTCTGAGTCTGCTTGCCTCTTGTTTTGGGTGCTCTCTGCCTGCCTCCTTCCCCCTTTTCACCTTCTGCCTCTGCACAAGCGACTGCTTTCCCTGGCCTCCCCTTCAAAACCCTAACGGATTGCTCAGACTCCAAATGCCCGGAAGAGAGAAGCCGGCCAGTGTGGTCAGGCAGTGCAAGCCACTGGCTGGTTCCGCCGTGGCCTGGGGTGTAAGGGGACGTGGCCCATCAGCAAGGGTGGGAGCCAGGAGACTGACGACCGCCACTGCCGCTGGGGAGCGGAGGGGTGCTCTGTCTCCCCGTGGTGCACATGGGAAGGCCCCTCATGGAACGGGCCCAGGAGGGAGGAGGCCGTTGAGGACCGCAGATGCTCAGGACGGCTCGCTCATTCATAGCGTCACAGTTGGAAGCCTGCATTGCTTTGCCAGAAGCAGTAGAGACAGTGAAGGTTTTCAGGGGTGAAGAATGAGGAAGATGGCTGGCAGCAGTGCGTGCGATGGATGGAGGGAGGAGACGAGGTGGTCAGTCGAGGAAAGGCCTCTCCTTCCTGCCACGTCCTGGCCGGTGTTTCCATGGGGACAGGTGCTGGCTCACCAGGCCTGTCTGCTTGGCCCCTTATGTGACCATCTCCCTCCTGGTCCTTACTTGCCAGGCTGCGCTTTTCCTATTTTCAGTTCACCCTCCTTCAGCTGCACCTCCTCCACCCCGGGCTGGTCTCTAAGGTGTTTGAGGAAACACCTCCAAATGGCAACTTCCATGCCGTTAGGCCTGCAGTGTGGGCTGCGTTTTGGGTGCGGGTGTTCCGAATGCGATGCCGTGCTGAGCAGCGTGTATGTTTGGGGTCTTTTCCAATTCTCACTTCCTCCTGACACAGATGTCCATGCCCATCCTGTCGTCCCGGGGAGACATGGAGACGGTCCGCCGCTGCCTGGCTCACAGCCTCTTCATGAGCACCGCTGAGCTCCAGCCAGACGGGACCTACGCCACCACAGACACGCACCAGCCGGTGGCCATCCACCCCTCGTCCGTCCTCTTCCACTGCAAGCCCGCCTGCGTGGTGTACACCGAGCTGCTGCACACCAACAAGTGCTACATGCGCGACCTCTGCGTGGTGGACGCCGAGTGGCTGTACGAGGCCGCCCCCGACTACTTCCGCAGGAAGCTGAGGACCAGCAGGAACTGAGCCACGGCCTGGGAGCTGGGGCCACAGCCGTCCTCCCAGCCGACTTCCCGCTCGGCGCCTAAGAGGCAGCGGGTTTTAACCTACCAGAACGTGCCCGACTTCCTGGAGCTTACAAGTGTCTTCTTTAAACTCCTTAGGCTGAATGAATCATGTAGACGGGTATATGCTATTTGTACCTTTGAAACATCAAAATTGTGCTTTAGGTCCTTGCTGGGTGACTTTGGGTGACATAGTTAACTTCTGAGCCTCAGTCTCTTATATGCTAAAGGGAGCAATAATCCTTATAGGGTTGGAGTCATGAGGTTAGGGAAAATGAAAGATGAGCATACAATGAATTGTTGGCTTCATCTTCCTGCTTTTTACATAATGTCAATTGAGTACCACAAGATCCCCAGTTCTCGAGACTAAGGGGGACTTTCTAGAAGGGACTGTGGGAGGGCACAGAGCTGTTGTTTTGGATCTATTTTAATGTCTGTCTGTAGAGTATTTTTTTAATCCTCACCCAAGGATATATTTTCCACTGATCTTCAGAGAGAGTGGGAGGGGGGGAGACAGAGAGAGAGAAACATCGATGTGAGAGAAACACATTGATTGGTTCCCTCCTGCACACACCCCAACCAGGTCAGGGATCAAGCCTGCAACCGAAGCCTGCACCCTTGACCAGAATCGAACCCGAGACCCTTCAGTCTTTGGGTCAGTACACTAACCACTGAGAAACCCAGCCAGACCTGTACAGAGTTTTTTAATATGTTTTTATTTATTTCAGAGAGGAACAGAGAGGGAGAGTGAGATAGAAACATCAATGATGAGAGCAAATCATTGATGAGCTGCCTCCTGCATGCCCCACATTGGGGGTCGAACCTACAACCCAAGCATGTGCCCTGACTGGGAATCAGACCATGACCTCTTGGTTCATAGGTCAACGCTCAACCACTGAGCCATCCGGCTGGGCCAGAGTTTTCCAATAGAAAACAAGAGGGAGGTGCTGGCCGCTCCTGCTGAGCCCCTTCCTCAGGTGTGGGCGCTTGCTGCCTCCACGCAGAGGAGAGAAGGAGGCCTGCGGGTTGCTGAGCTGAGCATCTTCGTCCTTGTGCTTCTGTGGCGGACATCCTCACCTGTCCTTCCAGGAGATGTGGGCGTCTCCTGAGTGAAGGTTGATTTGTATCTTCTGAATCATGCCAGGTATAACTGGGAAACTGGCCCGGAGGGTGTTGGCCCCAGCATACCAGCAGCTGTTTCTCTGTAATGGCACGCTTAAATATGTGAGCAGAAGGAACGACTCCAGGCTACATTTCAGCCACTTCTCTTCAGGCAGGGCCACTGGTCAGAGAGCTGTTGTGGAGGGAGAGACGAATGGTCCACGAGAACCAGGCAGCATTGGCTCATCCCATTCACAACATCTGGCGGTTATATTCTAGCATCTTATTTATTTTACCTTTTTCCCTCCTTTGGGACTTGGGGACAACCTGGGTTTGTTACTTCCTTACAAAGTGGCCATCACTCTCTAACCCTTAGTGTCTACATTTCTCAGAGGGAATTGGTGGTTCTCCGCCGTCTCTTCCTATTCTCTTTTTTTGAGAATAAAAGTCCTTCTTAGCTATTTAATTACCAAAAGTGACTGGATGTCTTGTCCCAGAGCAGCCAAGATTTACCCCTTTTAATGTGCTTGATTGGTCTGAACACCTGTGCAGTATTTTGGTCATTATTTACAGTGAATCATGCAATTTCGGTGCAAGAGCCCAAACTGAGAGACCTGCAGGGGCAGCGGACGGTCTCTTCACTCTGGATCCAGTGGACTCCTCGTGACCAGCCTGCTGGAGCTCCCCGTGCCCGTCTCATCTGTCCATGTCTGCCGGTCAGGCCTGCTCGGGCTTCCAGCACGCGCTGGGGCCCTGAGAAGTCTAGCTTTTATCTAGTGCTCGGGCACTTGAGACTTAATTGTTAGAAATACAGTGGGGCCTTGACTTACGAGTGTCCCGACTAACGAGTTTTTTGAGATACCAGCTGTCTCTCGGCCGATTTTTGGCATTGAGTTGATAGAGTAATTTGAGTTAGCGAGCTCCTTAACGAGCTCGATCTCGGAACAAATTAAACTCGTAAGTCAAGGCCCCACTGTATTTACGTTTAGACCAAATGGGATTTGGCAGATCCGGTATACCCTATCTCAGTGATTTCCAACCTTTTCCTTCTCGTGGCACACGTGAACTAATTACTAAAATTCTGCGGCACATCAAAAAATATATTTTTTGCCAGCCTGACCCAAAAATTAGATATACTTTCGATTCATTCCCACTGGACAGCTATTGTTGTGTTGGCTGTTGTCTTTTTTTGTTTGTTTGTTTTATAATCTAAGGGAAAAGAGGTCAGTGCCCCTGACAAAATAGGCAGGTATTGCATGTTTTAAAAAGTCTTGCAGCACACCGGTTGGAAATTGCTGCCCTATCTTATTGAATACTTAAGACTTTTAGCAGGCTCTTCCTCAGATTGACTTGTTTTTACTGTTGCTGACCTTCTGGAAAGTTTGTCAGAAGATTTTTAAAGTGTACTTTTCTTATTTATTAAATAGAAGGCTAGGATGTTTAGCCCGACTTGGTAAAAGAAAATGTATTTTTAATTAAAAAAATTCATCATGTTGGTAAAAATTTCAAGTGGGGTGATTTATCATGTCCCTCCACAAATTCTCTCTCAGAATAATTGTGTACAACTTAAGTACCTAAAGAGTTTCTGGGAAATGTATACTCATTCTTTTCTGAGCAGGAATAAGGGATAGATAGCTTCTAAGTAGCTTTAATGTTTCTGTACAGAAATATGTTGATCATTGTAACATTCTGGTAGACTTTTAATACGGTAGTTTTTTATTGGGCTTTTTAAAAAGTTAATTTTTAACACAGTTGCTCAGGGATTACATCAGATTGGAAAACCCATTCTGACTCCACATGTTCCTACAAAGAAGTAAATGGTTATTTATATTGAGCTGCAGGGGATAGTACATTTTAAACTTAAACTTTCTTAAGAAAGTTAAATGTTTCACAGTGATGTTGCAATGTGATCTTGAGCTACTCTTTTTCAATTGGTAAAATCTCTTTTCCTATCTGCAATCCATGTCTGGGTGAATCACCAGCTCCCATGAGCAGCTTCATGTAAATAGATGCACTCCAAGCAGATCGCATGCCTGCTGCTGGTGTTGATCTATTTGCAGTAATCGTGGCGTGTGGAACATCCGAGCAACACAGATTCCACTACAGGGGAAAGAACGGTCCTTGTTAAAAACCCTTACTTAATGTTGCAGCTCTGCTGGTTGTAAAGAGATGCCAGAATGGAGACAAGTTTCTGCTCTGTGAGTAAAACTTTCTACTTAAATCCATTTAATCCAGCATCAAGAACTGCTTGGAACTGTGGCCAGACATCTAAGATACCATTCCATGAACATATATTGGAACACTGCACCTGTCTGGGGAAGCAAAGATTCAATTATATTTTACTCGATCAGAGCATAATTTGCAGAGGGAAAACACAGAAAAATCAAGTTGGTTCAGGTTTATGGTGTATTTGGAGAATCTGGTTTCATTCAAATAGACGTAGCTCTACTGAAATGTCAGTTCTTGTATTTAATGCTCAAATTTGCACATGACTATCAAATTCATTAAAAATGAATCTTATACATGATATGTGTGGCTTTCTTTGGTCTCTTTTTTCCTTATTACAGAATGCTATTTAGAATATATTAAGTATTAATCTTTTCCATGAATTGGGAAAGACTTACTTTCTTGGTACCTTATACATATATATCCTGTGTGTCCTGATAAACTTGGAACATCAGTTCTTAACCTAAATCTGATGTAAGCCATAGCTTCATGCCCCTAGGAAAATAATGTCCTATCAGAACCTGGGGGCAAGCTTGGAGGGACTGGTGAGGGAGGGTTGCAGGAATTAACTGGGGATTCTGCTCTTCAGGAACAGTGGGCTGGTAGGCTGAGGGGAGGCAAACCAGCAGTGCCAGGAGGTTTCTCCAGAGAGAAGAATGAAGTGGAGGGGTGGAAGGGGCAAAGGGGTGCACAAGCATAATTTCCTATCTGTTTCATGGGAGAGAGGAGGAGGTTTCAGGAAGGCATCGTAAGGGAGATGACCTCGAAGGCTGGTATTTAGGTTGCTGGGAATGGCAAGAGTACATTCCACAGATTCCACATGGTACCAGAAAGCCTGGTGTGCTTTTATTGTTGTTATCCTCACCCGAGGATATTTTTTCCATCGATTTTTATTTTTAAAATATATTTCTATCGACTTCAAAGAGGAAGGGAGAGAGAGAGGAACATCAATGATGAGAGAATCATTGATTGGCTGCCTCCTGCATGCACCCCAACTGGGGCTGGGGATGTAACCTGCAACCCAGGTACCTGTACCCTTGACCAGGAATCGAACCCGTGACCCACTGACCAACACCTGGTGTCCTTTGAGAACACTAGATGGCAGTTTGGAGTGTAAGCAGCCACTGGAGAGAAGTGATGCTGGCAAATTAAACAGAAAGCCTTGTACACCAGACTCAGGCCAGCCTGAGCTAAAAAGTTCAGTTAGCGGACTTGACCCGGGAAGCTGCGCTGCCGGAGGATCCCAGCAGAGGGCGCGCTCCCGTCCACGGTGATTTGACCTGCAACGTTACCGTTCGGAAGCGCTTTCCCGGGCGGGGCGGGCGGGACTTCCGGCGGTGAGCTCGTGGGGCTCTAGGGCTCAGGTCGTCCTCATCCTCACGTGTCTTCCTCTGCAGCTGTCGCGGTCGCCTTCGCGATGCTTCCTTTGCTGCGCTGCGTGCCCCGAGCGTTGGGCTCCGCCGCCGCGGGTCTCCGCGCCGCCGCGCCCTCCGCCCCCCTCCGGCCGCTGCTGCAGCTCGCGCCCCGGCCCTGCATCCGACCCTTCGGGCTCCTCAGCGTGCGCGCGGGGTCGGAGCGGCGGCCCAGCCTCCTGCGGCCTCGCGGGCCCTGCGCCTGCGGCTGCGGCTGCGGCGGGCTGCACACCGAAGGTGAGCTCGCGCACGTGGGCCGGGCGTGGGGGCAGATTCCCAATGGGGCGGGGGCCGGGCAGGTAAATGGGCACCGCGAGCCGCCCGGCGAGCTCCGGAGCGTGTTCCCAGTTATTGGCAAGCAGAGGATGAAACCCACGTGTGATTGATCCCATTTCCCTTTCCCGTCCTTAACGCGTTCCATTTGGGGTTGGGGCGTCCAGTTAAACCCTGGAGCCTGGCTTTATCCTTAGCCTCTCACAAACGGAACTTTGGGGAGGCCCAAGGTCGCGGTAGAAAGTGGCGGGTCAGCCTGGCCCATGTGGCGCCGTTGGTTGCAGGGTCTACAAAGTGATGTTCGATTCCCGGTCAGGGCACATACCAGGTTGCGGTTGGATTCCCTGTCGGGGTGTGTAAGGGACTCTACCCATTGATGTTTCTCTCTAAAATCAATGAAAGCATGTCTTCCGGTGAGGATTAAAAAAGAAAGTGGCCCAGTTATTGTCTTTGGCAAGAGGAAGAAGGTAATTGAGAACTCGTTTGCTCTGTGTGAATGTGATAATGTGTTCATTGTTGCAAATCACTTTTTCAGAATCAAACTCAGCTTCCTACTGGTAGTATTGGGGCATCTATACCGATAAGGACACAGGCTTAGTGGGTGTGAGTTGGACTAAGCCCCAGAGAAGGATTAACAGTCTTAGTCCAGATCTCTGGCTAGAGGAACCTGGGTCACTTTGGACTGATGGGTTCTTTTTCTTAATTTTTAAATATGTTTTTATTGACCTGAGAGAGGAAGGGAGAGAGAGAATCATTGATCAGCTGCCTCCTGTAAGCCCCTCACTGGGGATCGAGCCCGCAACCTGGGCATGTGCCCTGACCTGGAATTGAACTGGAATTGAATCGTGAACTCCTGGTTTATAGGTTGACACTCAACCACACTGGCCGGGCGGGCTGTTCTTTTTCTGTAACATGGATTTTCATTGTAGGGGACAAAGCTTTTGTTGAATTCCTGAGTGATGAAATTAAGGAGGAAAAGAAGATACAGAAGCATAAGACCCTCCCTAAGATGTCTGGAGGTTGGGATCTGGAAGTGAATGGGACAGAAGCCAAGTTGTCCCGGAATATTGCTGGTGAGAAGTAAGTACTGAGAGCCTGGATTCCAGCGCCTAAATCCATGACCCTCAGAACCTTACCTGTCAAGGCAGGTACTTTGATACATGGTTTCCAAGTCACATGGGTTCATCTGGGTAACTGCATAAGTTCCAGGTAGTTCATTCACTGCACACAGACTTCCTGTGGGCTGGTTACTTCGGGGTGTATTCTGTAAGGCACCTACACCTTTTTCCTAGAGTGAGTCATAGCTGCTTCAGGGCCATTGGACGTTGCATTTCTGTGCCCAGGAGCCCCACTTGGTCAGCACTGTTGCAGATGAGACAGATTTTGTGGCTGAACCGGAAACCATTGTTCCTGTGGGAGAGTGGCTTCCTGGCAAAGCAGCCAGGCAAAGCAGCCAGTTGTGGAGTGCCCGGTGCAGATAGCGCTCGCTGGAGTAGCACAGCCCGCAGTGCTAGTTCCACATCTCACTCACTTTTAATTTCCACTCAAACTTGGGAACGGGATTTGTCAAGTGAGTGTTCTTGCACCTTAAAGTGGTCATTAGGCGATGCTCCTGGCCTGCTTTGTAATTATAACTCCACAAGCATTCTGAAGACTGGGTCTGTATTGCTGTTCTTCGTGAGGCTTCGCCTTCCTGGGGCCAGGGCTGCTCTTGGTCCTTAGCTGATCCTACTCTCTAGTGCTCCTTCTTACCTTTGAGGGGCAGATTTTCTGATGGAAAAAAGGTTTTAAAGGAGGCATCTAGTCCATCCCACCAGCTTCTTAGCTGCTCACTGCCACTGGAGGGTAAGACCACCGTGAGCAGTGTCCACTGGCTATGGCCATGAGAGAACCAGTGGACGAATGTTGGCAGTGAGCCTTGGGATGCTGGCTTGGCTGAGATAAACTGGGGCCTATTAGTTGGATTTTCAGCATCTGGCACATAGTAGGCACTTTTTATACCTGCTGAATCCATTCTGGGACTGGATGGAGGCAGCAGGCTTTTTTAGAAGGTTGTAATCACAATGTAAAGCCGGCTGGGGTGGAGACATTGTTTCAACAAGCATTTTAAACTAGCAGGCCTCAATACTTACTTCACACTCAGTGAAAACTGTACCCTGTCTTTTGTGTTTTCTTTTAACTTTCTAGGATCACAGTCACTTTCAACATTAACAATAGCATCCCACCAACATTTGACGGGGAGGAGGAGTCCCAGGGGCAGAAGGTTGAAGAGCAGGAGGTAAGCCTGTAACACTGTAACCGGCCTCTACCTCAGAGTTCTGAGGGCTCTCCCAGGGGCTTGGAGGAGGATTGTTTTTGTGTTTAATTCCTCTAATGCTAGAAGGGGAGAGAGAAGGCAGAGGACAGCCATCCTTGGGACTTCACTCGTAGAGCAGCATTGGGGCCAGCTTTAGCACCAGGAGTGTGGCCCATTTCCTTTCCCAGGTGCTGTGTAAATTGCCATCTGCAGGCTTGGGCTTAAGAGCTTGGTCTTTGTTCTCCTGATAGAAAGGAATGGGAACTGTCTGACCCTTCCATGAGGGGAAGGTCTCTGATATTGGAGATTATCATTTGGAGTGTTTCATGTGAGGAATGTTCTAACATGTCACAGGCTGGTAATAAACACCAGCCACTGAGCCAAGGGCATAAAGCCGGGGACATCGGAGATTTAACATCAGGTCTTCCTGCGGCTGCTGGCCTTTGTGGTTGGACCTTGGACCTGGATGGTGCCCAGTCTTCAAACCTTCTAGGAAGCAGTGTGTCTGGGCTAGAAACCATTTGGTATGAGGGCCAGAGTCCCCAGACTCTGACGAAGCAGGTATCAGTGCTGTCTCAGACCTAAACAGCCTCCTGGTGACATCACGCTGGCATCTCTGACATTGGATGCTCACCATCAAAGGGAGGGTTGCTGTGATTATTCAGACATTCGATGGCCAGTCAGCCAAATCACTGGCCTTGGCCCTGGGCTGAAGGATGATCCTGAAACAGAATCAGTTGGAAAGAGATCTTGGGGCTTTATGCCACCTGTGCAGTTTAGGGATGGGAAACGGTCTAGGGAGATTAGGAATGGTCTAGATCTAAGTTAATTGGCACATAGCTGGGGCTGGAATTCAAATTTCTTCTAAACCTAGTCTGTTACTTAAACAAGTAGATGCTAACAGAAGTGAAACACTGTACTAAATATAAGATGATCTGTCCTCGAAAACAGTCTTTAACTTTAGAAAGGATCAATAGGAAGAGTTCAGCCCAGGTCCCTGAATGAGCTGGCACGTGGCTTTAATACTCTGTTAAAGATTCTCGGCTCCTTATTAGGAACGCTATAGTAAAGACTTTGAAAATGGCTAATATCCTGGCAGAGGTGGCTTCTAGATCCCCTGCATCATCGAGACCTTTGGTCCAGGCAGCCAACCCCTGCCAACAAGGCACGCGCTTGTTCTTGTTTCCCCAGCCTGAACTGACATCCACTCCCAACTTCGTGGTTGAAGTTATAAAGGGCGGTGGCAAGAAGGCCCTCGTGCTGGACTGTCACTATCCAGAAGATGAGGTACGTCACAGTCCCCTTTCTGTGCATGCGTCTGGCTTGTCCTGGAAAGCCCTTCAGTTTCCCCAACTACTGTCTGTCCCCTCAGGTTGGACAAGAAGAAGAGGGCGAGAGTGACATTTTCTCCATCAGGGAAGTGAGCTTTCAGTCCACTGGTGAATCTGAATGGAAGGACACAAACTACACACTCAACACAGATTCCCTGGACTGGGTGAGTGCTTGATAAGATGGGGTGCTCCTGGGCCTTATAAGGGAGGTCCCGGACCAAGGACAGACAAGCATTTTATCGAGTATTACAGATGAAGTCATACTACTTTTCTGATGGTGAATGTTTCTCCTTGTAGGCCTTATATGACCACCTCATGGATTTCCTTGCGGACCGAGGGGTAGACAACACTTTTGCAGATGAGCTGGTGGAGCTCAGCACAGCCCTGGAGCACCAGGAGTACATTACTTTTCTGGAGGACCTCAAAGGTTTTGTGAAGAGCCAGTAGGACAGACAAGACACTGAATACCTGGAATTTATGGCAGGCTTTGCCAGTGAACAAAACCTACTCTGAAGCCAAACATGTACTTTAAAATGGTTTTCACCCTAATATCATGGAAAATAATTCAGATTTAAATTATTTGTTGCCCTCTTATTTACTATTCATTTGTTTCTTTACAAGTCTATTATTTCTAGATTTTTGTATAACAATGATGGACAATAAAAAATTGATTTATCTCTAAGGTGATGTCTTTTCTATTTGTATTCCTTCCTCCTTCAAACTGCATAACCAAACACCAAGAGCCAAGATGTTTGAAAGGTTTTAATACAAAATAAGTTACAAATGAAAGGTTGTATTTACAAGGCCCCCTCAGACGGTCTGAGTTGGTTCCAACCCAGCAGGAGGATGTGAGTCAAGGTGGCTTTAGATGATCGCAGCCCGAGCATCGCAGGCCTGGATTTAAATAGAGAAAGTAGCTTAAGATTTATCTCATAGGGCTGAACGTTGTCATCAGCAATCACATTTATGCTGCCATTAAAACTCCTACTTAGGAAAGGATGCTGAGTTACTTAGGAAATAGTTGTAAGAGGCTTGGCTGGGTGTCAGTCCTGTGGTGTCAAAACAACTGCCTTTTAAACCCTCAGCAACAATAGTACCTGCAAACTACAAATCCTGGCGATGGACTGATCTGATATCCTCACCTCAGGAACCCTGTGACCAAAAAGGTTATTCGAACTTCTGAGAGCTCAGCAAGGAGATGTGGTTCCTTCAGCTTAACAGGATTGAAACAGGCGTGCACCATGGCAAGGTATAAATTATGCACACTGACTACAATCAGCTCAGGCCCATTCATTCTAGCATACCTTCCTTGGTCTCCCCTAACAATCAATAGGCACTCAAATATAAACCTGGTTTCTGATTCCTTGACAGCTCAGCCCCACCACAGTGCTAAGGAATCCTGTGCTTAACCTTGACACCACATCCATAGGTAATATACTTGGCTTTCTGGTGGTCTAACACATCCCCATCCCATGACTAGCCCTAGAGCACTGTCCCTCTCACATTTCCAATATTCCAAGTCCTTAGGGCTCTATGTACCCAACTTCGGTAACCCACACCTATCTTCACCCTCACACCCACGCTTGATGAAGCTACAGCCTGACTCACTGGCTCTTGAGCCCAATGGTCCTTGATTTCCCCTTAAGAGAAAGATGTCTAGCGCCCCCGGACTCCAGAGCATTCCTAATGATCTATTTTTCAAAGGGGTGAACTCTGGGATAGGCTACTGAAGACAATTTTGTCCTTCCCTCTCCTGTTTCTCATCTTCGTATGACTGCCTTCTGCCCAGCAATGGCCTCCCTCTGCCCCTGAGCCAGCACTGTCAATCATGCTGTCCCCACAACTGATGCCTCCACAGCACCTGCCTTCCAAACCTCCCCCTCCACTTGGCTTCCCTCCTGCTCTGGGCTGCAGGGCACCGATGGCCAAGTGAGCAGACGACTGCAGCTGGACTAAGCTAAGCAACCTTTCGTGTCCTTATGGAAGCCTTTATCCATAAAGGAAATCACCTCCTCTGAACTCCCATAGGCCCTCCCCCTACAGCTCTCCAGGGCTGCTGACTACCTGTTTTCTATATTCTCTTAATTACCAACCCTAGACTTGAACTCAGAGAGAATGCATATTTTTGAATTTTAAAAAGTCCTCAACACATTTAAAAAAAAATGAATGAATAGAATTGAATAACTTATGGAAGAAACTTGATAAAGTGAAATGTTGGCTGTATTAGGCAATACTGTTTATAACAAACACAACTCCTGTAGGTAAACTGCCTTTGAAATGAGAGGGCCAGGAGAGAACTAGAAAGACCCAGGAGGAGGCCACAGTTCTGGACTTCCCTAAGTGCAGAGCGCTCACAACCCAGGGTTCCCCTTGCTTGGGACCTTAAGCTATAGCCAGAGGTTACTGTAAGAGCCACTGGTTCCTACAGCAAGCGTAGGTTCTGCGTCCACTTGTGTGGTCCTGTTCCCTCACACCTGAGTTGTCACTTAGGGGGCCAGACAGTAGCCCCTGGTCCCCCATGAAGATTCTTGCTGAGGAGGCCAGCCTGATGCTGCCCTGCTGTGCTTCCTGTTCCATGTCCTACTGTCAAACTGGCACCAGGCTGGCCTACCTGGTCTTACGAATATGAAATAATCAGCTTCACCTAAGGCCACTGCTGCCAATCAAACAAGAGCAGGCAGTGCCGCCAGGCTTCCTAATTCCAGTCCAATGCACCTCCCACCATCCTGTGCTGCCTCTGTCCTGCCCCTTTCAGGGAATGACTGGACTTTTCATTGAACGGGCTCATCACCTTCACTTTCCTATTCAAGTAAACTCCTCAGAGAATAAACTGCTTTTAAACATGTACCTGTTTCCAACCTATGATTTCTCCCAGAGCAGGGATAAAACCAAACACTGAGCTGCCCCTACCATGGGTCCCCGGGAGGCTTACCAGACAGCTCATGAGAAGACTGGACTTTCTTCCTGTCCCTTCAGTGACTGAAAATTGAGGTGTGTGAGGACAGTGGGCGCTGTGCTCATTCATGCTGTCCTCTAAACAGGCACGAAGTTTCTGCTCTGTCAATTCTGGAGACTAAAAAACAAAAAGGTTAAACCGCAACCTAATCTTAGTTACCTCATCATCAACAGGTAGAAAAACCTGATTCCTCACGATAACCTGTATCTGTGATGACTTGACTCCTTGGACCTTTTAAAGTGCTCATGATTGTACTAAAAAGGTCTCTAAGCCAATCTCCACCTGACTGCCTCTCCAGACAACCAGTGCTCTCCTCTCCTCTGTAAAGCACCCAGCCACACACAGCACCAGGGACACTCGGAGCCGTCCTATGCTTCTGCCTCTACCAGCCAAATGTATTCCCACCAAGAGCCAGCACTGCTTGGTCCCAGATCTGTCTGTGCTAATTGAATTTACTACTGTAACTGAGAAATTACATATTATGTTAAACAACAAAATAAGAGAATGAAAACAAAGTTTTCTTTTTTGTAATAATAAGTGGGATGTTTAGGAAACTCAAAAAGACGAGTTGCTTAAAAAAATAAAGCTGTTAAATAAAAGGGAGGAAAAATCCTAAAGTTGCACACTCAGCTTCTCAATGCACTTTTCAGAAACAAATTAGAAGCTCCAGGCAATGCATTATAAGAGTGGTTTGTAAAAAAAAGACTCAGCTCTCCAATCAGCAGAGCCCCACTCAAAGACTGGCAAGTAAATTTATATGCTTGAAATTTACTATGTCTCATTTTGATAATTCACCACTCTAATCAATTGACAAACTTTCACTCCCTGTCATGTCAGATAAGAGGGCTCTTTCTGTATTTTAAGATCACTGAAGCTTAAATTCTGAGTGTAGGTGTGTCTTCATATATGGACAATTTTTATGGATAAGTGTTTAACAAATGGCTCCGGGGTGGGGGCAGGGACCCCCCCTGGTTTGTGTGCTTGCCAATTTCCATGCTGTATATATTCTCACCATGGCTGTTTTCAAGCTACCAATGTGAACTGAACATGAGCTGGGAAAAGATGTGCACAGCCATCTCCAACACACTACTGAAGGGTCTTAAGGTAAATAGATAATTGTGGACAAAGGTGACAAAATCTGGGTGTGTAACACTTACATGAGATGGGATGTACAGGCCACACTGACACATGACCACACCGCTTGTTATTCTCAGGTTGTACCTAGAGGCAGAATTAGGACCCCAGAGCTTCATGGCCAGCAGAGGGGAAATTCCACTCGTTTTGGAGTGGAGGGTGGGAATCAACAATGCTGGAAAGGTTTGGAAAACTCTTACTTTATGCACACAGGACAGATGAGGGAGTTTGCTTCCCACTCAGCCAGTATGATGCTGAGACACTGCTCATCAAACTGCAAGCTCTTCTCGTATTCATTGATGATGGACTGTTCTGCAAGGCAATGGACAGGTGGAGCGCTTCACCATGCTGCACCCAGCTGTCCTGTATTTAGTGCTAACTTCACCTTCACAAGCTTCATCCACCTGAGAAAAATTCAGGTAAAATCATGCTACCAATCACTAAATAGTTACTTTCCCTCAGGCTTCCTCTTGTTGGATTCCTCCCCTCCTGTCTGGCCTCACTTTGTGAGCAAAAGAGGTGAAGTGGTGAGGCTAAGGGACAAGAAGAGGACTTTCACACACAGCCATAGAGTAGATGTAGACTATCAGTCGGGTCCCAGGGGCAGCTGGAGAAAGCTGACACTTACAGGGCACTTCTTTCTGATGCCAGCCCACCCTGCTGAGTCCCAGTGATCTGTCCCCCAGTGTCCCTATGCTCAGAGTCTGTGTTGTTCAGAATCTATGTGTTCATTCCTTCAACAAATATGCAACAATACCTAGGATGTGGCAGGCATGGGGTGCAAAGGTGAAAAAGACTGCTCCCTGCTCTTGATGAGCTCAGTCTAGACCAGTGATTCTCAACCTTGGCTGCACATTAGAATCGCCTGGGAATCTTTTTAAAATCCTGATTTCTGGGCCTCATCCTCTGGAAATTCTGTTTCTTCGTTACTAATGTTGTGGCCCCACCCCGTAACAAAGAAACAGAATGAATCAATAAAAAAACTATGGTCTAACTGGAATCAATACTAATCATAACAACTAACACTTGCATAGCACTTACAATATGTCAAATGCTATTTTAAGTCCTTTCCACATATTAACTTATTCACTAATATTATCTTTATTTTAAAGATGAAGACACTGAGGCATGGGGAGATTAAGTGCTTTGCCCAGTGCTGTGCCAGTTAAAGTGGTAAAGCTCAGAAGTGAACCTCAGTAGCCAAGCTCAGGAGTCCATGGTCTTGCATCCTCATTTGTTGAAAGTTTTCAATATGCCAGACACTTCTCTACGTCTTCTACACATATTATTAAACATAAGTTTCCACACACACAAACTTATAGGGTAGGCCTATTATCTCTATTTTACAGATGGTAAATACTGAGCTTAGTCAAGATAGGGCAATGTGGAATAAAAGAATTATGTAAGGTGTTAAATTGTGCACTGTACGGTGCTATGAATGCCTCAGGGAGTAGATGCTCACAAGACCCTGGGTAGTCGGTAAAGAATGGATGGGAAAGAAGACACTTCAATTAAGTTGTGCAAGAGAGCTGATCCTGCACTGTATCCTACAGGGTACAGGATTACTATCCATCTATTAATAGAGAGGTAGTGTCGGATAGAATAAGCATGGGAACTGGATTCACAAAATTGATGTTGCTTCCCAGCTCCACCACTAGCTGTTCAGCCACTGTCTCCTATTGCCTTGTAGGGTAGTTGTCAGGAGAAAATCAGCACGGAATGAGAAGTCTGAGCACAAGACCTGGCATACTTAAGACTTGTATTACTAGGAAGACAGACAGTCAAGACTTCAGAGTAAAAGCAGAGACTTCTGGATGCTTGGCTGCAGGCAGAAGTAGAAGTTCAGAACTAATTCTGTTGAGAATAAAGGGCAGTAGAGTGGCTAGGTTCAGGCAGGAAAGACCACTCCCAGAGGTCACCTTGGTCAATCAGCTCCTGTTGGATTTCCTCCAGCTCAGCCAAGTCCATCGGCTCCTCCCACTGCAAGAGAAAGTGGGATCATCAGAGGTTTGAAGTGATAATCAGCTGACAAGCCCCACAATGATTCATACGTGGAGGTTGGCTTGAAGAACCCAGGTTTACCTGAGGAAATCAGTCAGTCCTGCCCTTCTGTAGACTATGCTGACAGTGGGGTAATGTGGTCATGCTGAGAAAGCATCAAGAAATGCCTAAACTACCCAGTGACAAAAGAATGGCACTTAACTGGGGGCAGATCATATAGGGCAGCAGCTAAGTATGTGGTTCTGCCAAGCTATGTGACCGCCAGAATGTTCCTAACCCCTGTAAACCTCAGTTTGGGCTTCTGTAAAATGGGAATAAAACCTAGCTGAGAAGGTTGTGAAGGTTATTGTGAGTACTAATTGTGATTATATAACACAAACATTTGGCTTACTATAGGACACATAAGAGATACTGAGTATGCATCATTATTCTAGAGAGCTTTGATGTTTTCAAAGCAGTTTCCCACATGTTTTCTTATATAGTACTCACAATACTGACATTATTGTCTTCATTTCATAAATATAAAAACTAAAGGCCAGAGAGGCAGCGTGGAGTTAAAAAGCAATATCAAAACCAGGATCAGAATTCCAGAGCTGCTGGCTTCCAACCCAGTGCTCTCCCGACACCTGGTAAAAGGTTTCTATACGCACTCAGCTCCCACCTCTGACTGAGATTAGAATCAGGAAGCTCCTGGAGACCTTCTTAAAAAGCAGGATTTCTAGCCTCATGACCACTGCATCAAAACGTCCAGGGGTGTAGCCAAGGAGTAACATTACTTTCTTTTTAGTTTCATAATTGAATATAATGCAATGATGCAGCAGGTCAACAGTCTGGTACTTAGGAACCATTAATCTAAAACAGACTAACGTTAAAGGTAGAAGAAACTGGGTTAAAGGCTGTTAGAATCCCAACTGTAGGTTTGAGAGTATATGGGTTTAGATGACTCGGGGAAATAGGCAGAGGGAGGACACTTCCTGTCCTCCCTGAAAACACATCCCAGCCTGACCTGAGCCTCTGGGCAGCTTTCCATCGAGTGCCAAGCATTCCATTCCTCTTCCATCAACTCTTGTGCGAGAAGGGTGCTCTGAGCCCTCCCTGGCACATTGCCTCCAGCCTGTCGGTATTTGTCCAGGAGCCTGTCCCGGCTGTTTCTCATTCTCTCCCAGGCATCCCTTGGAAGAAGGGAGGAAGGTGGGAGGGGGGAAGGAGTATGGGGAAGGGGGGAAGGGGTATGGAGGAGAGGGGGAGGGGGAGAGGGGAAGAGGTATGAGGGAGGGGAGAAGAGGGCAGGCAATTCCATAAAAAACAAACAAACAAACAATACCTCTTAGATTTCATTATTAAAACATTAAAGAAAACTTATAGACAAGAATTATCAACTACAATCCAAACTATTGTTAATTTTGCATATTCCCCTCTTGCCCTCATCCACATGTAGCCAGATGAAATTACAATACTTTGTTCGCATATTTCCAGGTCACCGTATTTCATGTTCTACCTTCAACGCCAGCTTCTTTAATGGTTGGATGATAACAGCTCAACACCCACTGTCCTGTTATACAAGACGTTTGGACTGCTTCCACATTCTTGTTGCTCTAGGTATGGCTGCAGTAGTCACCTAACTGTACAACAGTGTTTCTAAACTTGGGGCAATTTGTCCCCCAAGGGACATCTGGCAATGCCTGGACACATTGTTGGTTGTCATAACTCTAGTATCAGGGCTACTGGCATCCAGCAGGTGGAGGCCAGGGACTCTGCTAAACATTCCACAACGCACAGAACCACCACCCACAACAAATAACTGTCTTCCTCAAAATGTCAACGGCCAAGGTGAGAAACCCTGATGTCAACAGTCATTTCCAGCATCGGATTATATTCCTGGGCTACATCTACTACTTACGGGATTCCTGCAGTCCTAGGCAATGTTACAGGACGCACGCTGAGCTCAGACTAGGTCAGAACTAAGATGCGGTACAACTCTGCTAAGGCAGTAAGTGAGGCTCTCCTGAACAGACGCTCTATCTTGAATAGAAATAATTTCTCTCTTGCATGAGGTGCGTATACAGTACACAAAATGCCTTCTCTGCGCCCACTACCCAACAATAGCAGGTGCTGTTACTGTAGAGTGCAGAAGGGTGGCAATGGTCACACTTCGAATTTAAAACAAACCCAAATCCAAAACTAAGGGGCCTGAGGCTGGTCCGGCCCGGGCTAATCCCGCACCCAGGGGTCCAGGAATTCCGGGAGGCAGGCGGGCGATGGACAAGACTCAGATCTACAGGTGGGAAGACTTGAGTCCCAGGTCCACTTCCACCCGCCAGGCACTCCTGACACCTGCCTCACGCGGCGAAGGCACTGAGGAGAGCGGTTCCTGGAGGGATTAGGGGGATGACCACGGCCCGGCCAGCCAAAGCTTCTCAAATCCCACACTCACCTGCCTGAACGTCTCTTTCCACGGAGGCGAGCCCACCAATTTGTACATCGAGCGGTGCGGAGAACCAGACTGCTCTGCCATCTCCCCTCCGCGGGAGCAGCCTCCAGAAAGCCCCGCCCCTGCGGGCCCGCAGAACCTTGGGAGTTGTAGTTTCTGGTTGCTGATCGTATTACACGGCAGGGAATTCTGGGCAGTGTTCTACTGGCCGTCCCAATAAAGAGACAGCTTTGGGCAAACGAAGGATGGTTAATTGCGGGAGTGACATCCGTGAGGTTAACCCACCTGGACTGAGGAAGTTAAGTCTCGAGGAAAAGCTTTGAATATCTAGGTTTACCCAGGTGGAGGCGTCCAATAAGCAGTGAGATTCACAGGAGTAAGACTCTCTCTCAGGTTCTAGACTTTTCCGCGGCCCCAAAACTTGAAACCGGCACTGGCCGGTCGACTTTCTAGTCCCGCCCCCTGGGGCGTGACTGGCGATTGGCTATCCACTAGCGCTGCCGCTGCCTGATAGGCTGGCCTCACTTTATTAGCCTAGCCTCGTGCTTCCGGGCTGCCTGCTCGCTGATTCGCCGAAGCAGTGGGCGGCCGGCCGCGGATTGGCTGCGCTCAGCGGCGGGCTGAGCAATTGGGATGAGGGGAGCAGTTGGGCCAAGATGGCGGCCGCCGAGGGACCCTCGGGCGACGGCGAGCTGTGGCAGACCTGGCTTCCTAACCACGTCGTGTTCTTGCGGCTCCGGGAGGGACTGAAAAACCAGAGTCCAGCCGAGGCCGAGAAGCCGGCTTCTTCATCATTGTCTTCGTCGCCGCCGCTGCCGCCGCCGCCGCAGTTGCTGACGAGAAACCTGGTCTTGGGCCTCGGCGGAGAACTCTTCCTGTGGGACGGGGAAGGCAGCTCTTTCCTAGTGGTTCGCCTCCGGGGCCTCGGCAGCGCGGGGGAGGAGTCCTCCCTCTCCCAGTACCAGGTACGGCCCGGCTCCTCTTGGACATGACCCTCGTCCGGGATCCGAACTAGTTTTTTGTTTGTTTGTTCCCTCCCCATCCTGGCTATTTTTCGTCTTCTGTGAGGCGTGCCGTTCCAGTGTAAGCAGACAGACGTCCAGCCTCTGGGAGGGGCACGGTCTCTCTTTTATTTTCACTCCACCCTAACATGGCCACGTAACCTTCCGTAGCCCCTTTTTTGACCCGACACTGTGCCTGTCACAGTTGGAGGGACTCATGCTCTCAGGTGCGTGAGTTCTTGGGGCCCGGGAGGAAGGGAAGGACCACGTCAAGCTCAATAAATAGCGTCCGTTACGCAGGGCGAGGGGAGGGAGCCGGTGCGGTTGCTCTTTTTAGGAGGTTGGTCCTGAGAAACCTCAGTAATGATGTGACACTCAAAATCGTAGGGATAGTCCTAACTTCCTCTTGGGATTGTTACGAGCATCATCGGGGAATGGATTTGAAAGCACCACGTTTTGTGCCTGACACAGCAGAGGAATCCCCTGTTCCTTCATTTACTCTTTAGAAAATCAGGCCATCCCCAAGGTGGGAAGGGATTTTTTTTTGTTTTTGATAAGCCAGCAGCATGTGAAAGTGGGTGTGATCAGAAAGGACTCCATCCTGGCTGTAATCAAGCATGGCTTTCTGGAAATGTTCATGCTATAGGAGGGGCCCGGTGCTCGAATTCCTGCACCTGGGAAGGAACTGCGGGCTGCGAGGCTGGGGTGGGCACAGGGGTGGGTCTTGGCCCATCCTCTGCACCTGGTCCCTCCTGCGCAGCCCCCCCTCCTGCCGCTGGCCCTGCTGGCACCCACAGAGGAGCGATTGGGGCCTGGGGCCGGCACTGTCAGTGGGTGCAAGCAGTGGCTGCTGCCCCAATCGCTCCTCAGGAGCAGGGGGAGGGGGAGAAGCCCTCAGGGGCAATTGGGGCCGGCAGCCGCTGCTTGCACCTGCTGACGGCGCCGAGCGATTGGGACTGGTGCCAGCCAGCGGGTGCGAGTGGGGCCGGCAACAGCAGCAGGTGCGAGTGCCGGGCAGGAGGACCACAGCGCACAGGAGCAAAGAATTTTCAGTAACCACCAGAGGCTGGCCCGGATGACAGCGACTGGCACCTTGCCTTGGTCTGGCGCCCCCGCTCACCTGCTCCACCATCCCACTGTGGCCAGCGCCCACCATATTCCACGCACGCCCCCTGATGGTCAGCGCATGTCATAGCGACCAGTTCTTCGGTTGTTTCACCGTTTGGTCTATTTGCATGTTAGGGTTTTATATATGTATCTATACTAATAAAGAGCTAATATGCTAATGAATGGGACGCTGTAACGGGTAACAACCAGGTCATTAGCATATTAGCTGGGCGTTGCTCAGGAGACGGGGCGGAAGTGGGGA